TAGAAAGGGGTTGATGTCTAAAGTCAAGCTTTAAAACTTTAGTTAGTTTCGTTCTGGGATCGTGTGTTCACTTATGATTATGTTTATGAATGCACGGTTTATTATTTCTATAGCCTGCATGTATTTGGTCCAATAAAAATGTTTTCCTTGAAGCCCACAGCTCAAATGCAAGTCTCAAATTAAATCCTTGTTTGTTGACAACTATGTAAATGAACGGTTATTGCTGAAGTTCAAACTCTCTCTTCTGCTCCATGTAAGTTTTGTATCCAATATAAATATAATTAGTGGAGTAATTAGGTTTTTTAAAGGTTTGATTTGGCAAAGCCTGTGTATTAGAAATGTTGTTTTTAATAAAATTAGTCTCTCATGTTGTTCTTTCAGAAGAGACATTTCAGAGTCGAGTTGTGTCTGGATTGGTTCATTCATGTTTAAGTCACTATGTTACAGAAGGTGTTGCTCTGAGTCTCGGCTGGAGTACCACCTGTGAGCTTTTACAATACAAAGTTTGTGTTGATCAAGTGTATAGATAAAGAGCTCTTTACAAATATACAGTATTTGAAACAATATGTTGCAATCCTAACTTATATTAACAAATATAACAACGGCTGAATGGAGTTTGAATAATTCATTGATGAATGTTGGCTTACTGTAACCAAAACATGTTTTTAAATCTAATTTGTCCTCTTCTAATGTATTTTTCCTCACTATTTCAGGGGAAACTTTGGACAAACTGAACGATCAGAATTGAATCTGGAGGCCAAAGACTGCATGAAATTTTAACAAAATTGTCTTAAATACGTAAAAAAGTTGCGGAGTCTTGTGTGAGCAGCCTTTTGCCCGTCTCTGCAGCTGAAAAGTTATTAGAGCCGTGATAATTGCCCACTCGGTACATTGCTATATGATGGGGATTTAGATGAAGCTGTGGCTCTCTGGAGCCAAAACAGTCACTAGTGGGAAATGACTTTAGAGTGTGACCTGCGCAGTGTTTTGGTCCTGATAATTTCAAAAATGATTTAAGTGTTGTCTGAGTGTTTTCATCACATACGCGCAGCAGCGGAGGCTCTCTTCACTTTGGCTGTCTGAGGCGCTGCTGTGTTCAGTTTGCTATTAAGAGAAGGACCAGGCCAAGAGGCCTCTTGACGGTGACAGGCTCTCCATCTGCGGCCCCCACTCACACTAGAGCACCAAATGAGCTGCACGAGGGCATAATTATGGGCTGTTTGTCACTATTCTCCCACAGTGTGTGAAAAATGCATATTTATATACCTCACACAGCTTACTTTGACTCTTTTAATCACAAGATTAAAGCCTGGTTAATTAACCAATTGTAAACACATTTTGTTCGTGCAAATCTATGTGAATAGGGAAATCTAGGGTGAATGAATGAATGTGCAGCCTGTGAACATGTGAAAATCAAACTACTCTCAAATGATTAAACACAGACATTAATGTGCAAAGTGTTGACAGTGTGTACCACTAAAACAGTTGTACCCAAACTGTCAATATTTTGTGAGATTACCATTTCCTTCCAGCCCTACAGTCTCACTGCAGAGAACTGCAGAGCACTAGGGCTTTACTCCAACTGTCCTTCCCTCCTCCATCTGCAGGATTGTCCCGCTGCGACTCCTGGTCCTGTTGGGAATGAGCCTATTGTGCATGTTTTAGTGATAGAGGAAACTGGAACACCAGGAGAAAACCTACACAGGGAGAACATGCATGTTCTTCTTTCGAAAACACGTGAGTGTTTGTCTCCATGACGACATTATGGTCTGGTAGAAATGGAGGAGACTTTGTTGGTCCTCCTGTTTGAGGTGCTTCATTGATACTCGATGTCTGTGGGCGCTTCATCTCCTGTCGACTCCGATCATGAGTTTGGAATACAGCACTAAGTCAGAGCGGCACTTATACAGGAACAGACCAGGGCAGTGAAGTTACACAAGTGATACACAACTGTACACAAACTGTACACAAACTGTACACAAGCCGCACACTGACCTCTGTAGTGTATCTACGTTCCACTGAAGCTGACAAAAGGCGACAGGACTGTGACTTATACGATTGTAAATTGTGACAAATGGTGATTTGACCACAGACATAGAGCACATTTATACTGTTTGATGTTTCTGTGATAAATACACAGCGAGTGTGTGGTTTTTATACATTTGTGTTGTTTTAGACACAGATTTGAGACCTGGACCACCTGGATTGTATCCTGACACTTGTGTTGCCAATACTCTCACACATAAACAGTATGTTTATCTTTATCTTGTAGTTTTATTTTCTATATCCTCTTGTTGTTGAGTGGACACACAGTGCAACACCTGTGGTTTGTGAAAAGGATACCATCACTGTACCCAAACTCAGGTTGAACAGGTGGTTGACGCGGCCATACGTCTGACTACAACATGATTTGTTTTGTCTTTATTGATCGTCTTGAGAAAACTGCTAGAATTTGTTGTTGCTGGCACTATTTCTGCAGTTTCCGGAGCGTTGCGGCAGCGAGGCCTCACAAGAGTTGTGTCTCCGTGATCCGACAAAATCCACTGACACACAGACTGTTGCGACAAATAAACACACAAGATTCTTGTTCAATTCGGGCAAAACATGGTTTGCAGCAGGCTTTATTCATGTCCCTTGGGAAGAAATAATGAAATATGTGAGAGAGTTAACAGAATTTAATTTACATACAGTAAACAATTGAATAGTTCATTAACAAAAAAACAGATAAGGTCCATTATAAAACAAATATTTGAATGCCGTACAATTTGGCCTTTATCAAACAAGACAGATATATCTAAGTCATGCAAATACAGTTTCACCCCTTAATAGGCAAACTATTTCACATTTTCTGTCTACAACAAAACATGTTGAAGATTGTAGCATTTCAGTCGTGCATTTTGGGTTCCTCATGACAATATTGGTTTCACATTTCAAGTGGAATAACAGAAATAAATGGACTATTCTAGTTTTGATTTGGGACTTTTTTTTATCCCTTTTTCCATCTGGTGTTCGGTGTAGGCACATATCCTGCTGAGATTTACACAGCGCATGAATAATGTCTCATCTCTACAACCACAACACAGCCTTTGTGTAAATCCCTTATGAATGAAGAGGAGATTCAGTCTGTTAGTTTACTAAATTTTACTAAATGATCATTTTTGTAGCGTCTTGGAGGGAGTTGAGTTCAGCTCGCAGGAGAATGTGTGCGCTAACAGGCTAACATGCCGGTTGTTGGAGTAAACTTGCATAAACAGAAGTATTTGGTATCAAACTATATTTCTGCTATTTTCACCTAAACCGGTTTAACAGTAGAAACACGTTCACATACTTTCAAATCTGTAGAGTTAGAGACCTCTCCTCACGTCTCAAGTAAACAAAGGAGAAGTGAGCAAGGATAGGGGAGGCTGAGGAAGGAGCAGGACAAAAACATAACATCTGCCTAAACTGAAACTTGATAATTTGAAACATGTGTTGATCAAAAGTATTAGTGAACAAAACAATGTCTGTCCCAGTTTATGTTCATTTTGGCTCTTTTGGTTTTGGGACAGTTTTTTTTACAAAGTCATGTTTTAGAATGAAAAAATAACTTGGAGGCTGCAATTGATGTACTTTTCTTTTTTTTTCTTTTTTTAACACTTTTAGGTTTATGGGATGTAAAGGTGCATTATGGCTGAGCGATATGGCAAAAAATAAAAATCTCAATTTAATTTCCTGCTTTAGATGATTTTGATTTTAAATCGATTTTCATTAAAGTCACCGAAGACGGACTTTGCCCCTAAAATATTTTTTTATCTTTCCGCTCAATATTCAAGTTTCGAAACTATTTTTAATTTGTTTCCCCTAATACGTATTATAAAAGTCTTGTACACACTGTGCTGATATTGCATGTACAGTGCCTTGCGAAAGTATTCGGCCCCCTTGAACCTTTCAACATTTCGCCACATTTCAGGCTTCAAACATAAAGATATAACATTTTAATTTTTTGTCATGAATCAACAACAAGTGGGACACAATCGTGAAGTGGAATGAAATTTGTTGGTCAATTTAAACTTTTTTAACAAATAAAAAACTGAAAAGTGGGGCGTGCAATATTATTTGGCCCCTTTACTTTCAGTGCAGCAAACTCAGTCCAGAAGTTCAGTGAGGATCTTTGAATGATCCAATGTTGTCCTAAATGACTGATGATGATAAATAGAATGCACCTGTTGTAATCAAGTCTCCGTATAAATGCACCTGCTCTTTGATAGTCTCAAGGTTCTGTTTAAAGCGCAGAGAGAACCATGAAGACAAAGGAACACACCAGGCAGGTCCGAGATACTGTTGTGGAGAAGTTTAAAGCCAGATTTGGATACAAAAAGATTTCCCAAGCTTTAAACATCTCAAGGAGCACTGTGTAAGCAATTATATTGAAATGGAAGGAGTATGAGACCACTGCAAATCTACCAAGACCCGGCCGTCCCTCCAAACTTTCATCTAAAACAAGGAGAAGACTGATCAGAGATGCAGCCAAGAGGCCCATGATCACTTGTGGACAAAAAGTTTGATTTTGGTTTCTTCTGACCAGAGCACCTTCTTCCACATGTTTGGTGTGTCTCCCAGGTGGCTTGTGGCAAACTTTAAACAAGACTTTTATCGGATATCTTTGAGAAATGGCCACTCTTCCATAAAGGCCAGATTTGTGCAGCGCACGACTGATTGTTGTCCTATGGACAGACTCTCCTACCTCAGCTGTAGTTATCTGCAGTTCATCCAGAGTGACCATGGGCCTCTTGGCTGCATCTCTGATCAGTCTTCTCCTTGTTTGAGATGAAAGTTTGGAGGGACGGCCGGGTCTCGGTAGATTTACAGTGGTCTGATTCTCCTTCCATTTCCTTCCGATGAATTGCCCAGCCCTAATGTATAATATGGATTACTATTGTTTTTATTATTATCATCATCAATGTAATAAATACTGAAGTGTAATGAAACGTTGTTGAAAAGAATGTCCTGTGTGTTTGTAGGTGAGCCTGATGCACAATGGCTGGCCGGTGATCTCAGCCTTCGCCGGAGACCAGGACGTGACGCGTGAAGCAGCCAGTAACGGCGTTTTGATCCAGATGGAGAAGGGCGACCGGGCCTACCTCAAACTGGAGAGGGGGAACCTGATGGGAGGCTGGAAGTACTCCACCTTCTCGGGTTTTCTGGTGTTCCCCATGTAAAGAGCTCGTGTGAGGAGCCGAGGTGGAGGTGGACAGAAGCTGCTGAGGACAAACTCTGAAGAGCAGACTCTGGTGAAGACCGATGGTATAGACTTTTTGGAGCGCTGCTATAGAGGGGGAGGCCGGAGGAGAGATATTTAAGTGCAGAAATAAAGCCAAGAGCGTGACTCAGAGAGAATAGGCAGGCCGTGCTTTGGCAGGATGCTGCTTCTTCACCTCCCTTCTCTACGATCTATCCTCTCATCCATATGCTCCACCCACTGTTTCTCTGTGGTTGCTGCAGCTTTGAACGGACAAAACCTTTTTTTATTCTCCACCGAGAACCGGAATAAATGATTTCTGTTTGTGATCCAAAGCCACTCCACCATCACCTCCCCATTCATTTAAGTGTAGAGTCAGATTTGGAAAATGTTCTGAATGAGGTCTTAGTGTGTGTCTTTTTATTGTTTGAAAAACTTGAAATGGTTTTTAAATGTAGGGAGAACTGCAGAGTGATGACAAGAGTTCTGTAAGTGCTGTTTATAGCTTGTCACAACATGTTTCCCTGGTTTTGTTGTTGCGGAAACACTGAGCAAATTAGATCCAGTCAGTTTTTTCATCATTTCATCGTTTAAATTCTTATTCCATTCGCAGAACATCTCCATCTGTTTTATTATAGTCATATGATAGTGATGCCCCAGACATGACAGTAGTGTGAGGACCCTGCCTTCTGTAGCTCCAGAAACTAAAATGAGGACTAAAAACTGCAAACATTTCCCTTATTCTCACAAATATGCAATTGTATAACAGTTGTTTGTATAATTATTTTATAACCAAGGCGAGGGAATTTACAATATCATCTCTAAATTGTGAAATGATTTCTTTGCACAATATCATCAGTTAAAAAAAAGGAGGAGGAGTTCTGGCTGTCTATTCTAAATTCAATTCAAAATAATTCTATATTCTATCTATTTGGTGCAGATTTTACAGACAAACCAATAATTCTGCCTTTGTATTCTCTGTTTAATGCATAAGAAAGTATTGGTTGGCACAAACAACTCAAATAGAGTTTACAAAGAGTTGAAATGACATCCACTTTGACAGCTGCTCACTAACTCTGAGAACACCTGCTTGTCAATTTGAACCTTTTTTCATCGCCGTTGTGAACTCCACAGATCCATCCTCTGCAGTTATACATCTGCTGATGCACTAGTTTTATACGTTTCATTCTTCCAACACCACTGAAATATTTGACTTCAGACCTCAATGAGATTTTGCTTCGAATCTGTGTAATCCCAGCATGTTGTCATCAATATTTGTGTTACATCACCTTTGCCTCATGGTTTTGGTTCTCCTCTTGGACTGTGCCCTGTGCTCCACGCGCCTCCTCTGACTCCTCCTGTGTCTCCTGCTGCGTCTCCTGCTGCGTCTCCTGCTGCGTCTCCTGCTGCGTCTCCTGCTGCGTCTCCTGCTGCGTCTCCTGCTGCTGCTTGGATCCTTCCTTGCATTTTCCTCATGGTGGGACTATGGACAATGAACCACTACAAACTCTTATATATATAATATAAATAGTTAAATACGCTCAGTATATACAAATGGATATATGAATATATTGAAATGAAAAGCCACAATTTCTATTCCCCCAATATTATGACAATGTTGGCCATGGTAACATACTGAAAATGAATCTGGTTCATGACTATATCTGTATTTCTGTATTTCCGTGTTATATGAATAATATTCCCAGAGAAACTTACTAGTGATTGTGTGTGGAGTTTGGAGCTGATTAAATCTTGCTTTTATGTTGTTTTTGTTTTGGGTCAAGCCAAGTGCCAAGCCAAGACTCAGACTGCATCAGCTGATCAACTGAAAATATGATAACTCTGGGTTCACTGACTGTAAATGACATGTGAATATTTACACAATGACATTATCTTGAGTTACAAATCAAAAGGATTTATCAGTTGTTTTCTTATTTGTTTGATCAAATGAATTAAATAAAGTATAAATGGTTCCTTTATATTTGTCTTAGCTGAAGTGGGGGCTTTGTGTGTTGTCCCGTTAAGCTCGGCCTATTTATTTCATTTATGGAAGATAAAAAAAGATCGCTGAAACCCCATTTATCCACGCTGCAGCCACACACTACACAAACTATAACAAATGCTCTATTTTTTATTAATATACATTTTGCCAGTCATATATACACTAACTTAATACAACCTTATCCAAGTGTTTTTTTGCTTCTGTGATTTACCTAAACTATGGATTTATTTAAAAGATCAATGAAATTACTATTCTTTCACAGTAAATATTCACCACTTCTGTTTTCCTTCCCTCTAACTATGGTGTGTGGCTTTTTATCTCCAGAACATGACAATCACATATATTTTAATTTCAAAAAAGCAATTCATGTTAAAGAGCTGTTCACAAAGCTCTGTAAAATACCGTCACGTTAAAAAAACAAATCTATTTTATATGATTTAGTGACGGTCACACACTGCACTCCCCCAGCCTTTAGAGAGCTACTGCCTTTTCTCCTTCTAATAAAGAGACACTGGTAAACCTGTACTTGTGATGAGCATATACTGTAGATGCAAACGCTGTGGTCAGAAGTGGTTATATCATCTGTTTTGTGCCGACCACAAATTCCCACAAATGACTCATTTGATCTGCCGCTCAGTAAAAATAGCATTGTGTTTTTGGAGCGCACTGTGCGAGTCCGGAAGAAGTACTGCTCTTTAAGAAAAGCCTGTGTTCACCCAAACATGATCTGTTATGTTAGAGGTAAGTGACAGACTGAACCATTAAGAATAACATCAAGACTATTTAGGCAAGGCAAGTTTATTTGTATGGTACAATTCATACACAAAGCAACTCAAAGTGCTGAACAAGAGAAGATAGAAACAGTCACACAAGGCATCATAATAATCACAGTACATTGAAAAGAAAGATACAAATATAGAATCCTTCAGTTGTATGCACATGCGGCTAAACAAAACTGTTTTAACCTGAATTTGAACATTGTAAGAGAAGAAGACTCTTCAGGAAGATTGTTCCAGATTTTAGCAGCATGAATCTGAAATGCAGCCTCCCCATGTTTAGTCCTGACTCTGGGCACCGCGGGAGGCCAGTCCCTATGGCACTAACTTGCCACAGATGTATTTTGGTGCGAGGCCATGGAGAGACTTGTACACAAGCAGAGCAGTTTTAAAGTCTATTCTCTGAGCCACAGGAAGCCAGTGCAGAGACCTGAGGACCGGACTAATGTGGTCGTACTTCCTGGTTCTAGTCAGGACTCGAGCTGCTGCATTTTGAATGTACTGCAGCTGTTTTACAGCCTGTTTGGACAGACCTGTGAGCAGGCCATTGCAGTAGTCTAACCTACTGGAGACAAATGCATGGATAAGAATCTCCAAATCTGCTTTAGACACTATGTTTTTGATCCTGGCAATGTTTGTAGGTTGTAAAACGCTGCTGATGTTAATGATTTGAAGGGGCTTTTAAAATTTAAGTCAGTATTACCCCAAATGTCGGTCTCTCTTTGTTTCTGGGGGCCAAAGACAATTTCAGTTTCATTTCAGTTTTGTCGGTGTTTAGCTGAAGGAAGTTGTTTTGCATCCACTCACTGATCTGTTGGATACACTGAAAGTGAGAGTCCAATCCATTAGATGTATTTGATCTTTTATCATTTAAAAGGAAGTAGATAATACAAATATATAGTGACTCAAGTATCAAAGGCAAATATAATTTCCGCCTGAAACTCCCTATTCTTTTTCCAGAGGGTGGAGTGGAACTATTTTCTAATAGTCTATTTTCTAATCTTTCAACTTCCTGAAAGCAGAGCTTTGAGGAGTTGGTGACACACACACACACATGCACACACACACACACACACACACACACACACACACACACACGTACACACACATACACACTCAAACACCCACGCATACACACACACACACACACACACACGTACACACACACACACACACATACATACACAAACACGCACGCATACACACACACACACACACACATATACACATATACTGGAAATTAATTTGAATGTACTTAAATTGTATCAAATCCAAGCATAAATATGGAGAAGTCAAGAGAAAATATCCACGCAAATGGATTTCCAACAGATATGTCAACAGATTTATTTGTAAGTAGAACCATAAAATCATCAAAGGTTACTTCACTTTATTGAAGACCCACATTTGAGCCTGTGGACTAAACTCTCTTGTGCTTTGGGCTCAAAAATGTGTCCCCAGTCTTGTGGAAATGTTGTGTACATGTGAGGGAGACATGCACAGTGCCAGTAGGGGGTGCGGTCTCATTAGCCATGCTGTGATTGAGGCATGACAAGTGTATTTAATTGTTTTAATGAAAATTATGCTAAAATATACTTTCCTCAACTATATTTAAGTTCCCTGAAAAACTTTGAAAAATCATTTATTCCGATAAATTCCTGCCACTAAACACATAACATATGATTCATTACTGGGTACTGGGGGATGTTAGTACTTCAACTTTTCAGTAGCAAAAAGGTAGAATTATTGTGAGCACTTTCTAAATTGATGATGTGTTCTTTACACCAGTAACACCAGTGTTTTTTACTGCAATTTCAGCCTCAAAGTTGTGATCTAACCAACGGTTAACCAGCGGTTCAATCACAGTGAGAACCTTCACCTTTGGACAAGTAATTTTCCATTTCTGCATTTCACTGATGAATGGAGCAGAAAAACATCTTTTAAAGTTGCTGAATGCATCAAGGTTTATCTTTATCATATTCATAATAGAAGATGGTGCAAACTTGTGACGTCCACTTCTTCTCTGATTCACACACGGCCGAGGTCAAAGCACATTACAGCACATCATTACTTACAGACACATCAGCCCCAACTTGCATGGTTACATTACCAGCAGTTAACCATTAAGATATTCAGATAGGAATACACTATACTCTGGTAAGTTAAACTGGGGATCATTATTTGCGGGTTTGAGATTCATACATTATTTGGCAATATAGCCATTGCCTTGTATTTCCTTAAATACTTCAAATAGTATTGCTGTCATATATATTCATACAGATTTTTGCATTATTCTCAGGTCGGTATTCATGACAGTTGTCTAATCGTAAGGCATTCAATAGTTATCTTTTGCTTTATTTTGCTTACTTACCAAGCAACAAAACAACTGGCAAACATCACTTTCTTGGTGTATTTTTCTCATATTTCTGTTAAAAACATCCTGCAGTTTGCCTTCATATTACATTTGTTTAGTGGTCTGACAAGTCTCTTTCATTTGAAATAAAACCTATTGCAGCCAGTTCTAAAGTAAGCCCGTGTACTCTGTGTTTGTGCTTGTGGTCAGGGTCCTGCAGCAGTAATTTGATTGTGGCAGAGCAAAGGAGACCTAACAGTGCACCTTCCTCCTCTGCATTTTTCCTCTGCTCCCAATGTCAGAGCTGCGCTGACAGTAGCTTTCTGAGGCAGCCTATATTCTCAGCCCTATGGAAATCAGCCCACACTGGCCTCATAGCTGCCAAATGCACAGCAGCCTCCCCCCCCCACACCCCCTATGACCCCTGCCCCCTGTGAGACCAGATGGGCAGGAGGAAGATAGACAGTCAACAAGAGAAAGTAGACTGACATCTCGGAGAAAAAAAGAAAATACAGCAATATTTAGACTTTTAGCCTTTACCCCGATGCACTCATTTTGGCAAAGTCGGCCACACTCAGAGACAGGCGCATGGTGTCATCCGACATGATTCCCCCGCGGACAGACCAGCGGCTGACAGCGTTGTCATTCATGCAACATGAGAAAGAACGTCCGGCAGTTTATAGAGTGGGAAATTCTCTTCACAAAATCCGAGTGTAGTAATTAACTAAATGTCCACTCCAGTACAGTGCATTCATTTATTACAGAATAAACACTGACAATTTCATGACTCTTAGGACATGGAAGATGTGTGTGCATGTGTTTGTATGAGTGGAAGTATATTGTGATTGTCTTCAGTGCGGAGGTGGTCAATAGTGTATACTGTAGACCAGGGGTGCTCACACTTTTTCAGCATGCGAGCTACTTATAAAAGGATCAAGTCAAAATGATCTACCTACTACAAAAATGCAAATCATATATTTCAAAAAATATTCTTTATATCTACAATGTATGTTTATGTACATGCAAAACAGCATGAGCCAATATAGCACAACACAACACAATTACCTATGTACATTTTTTGTCATTACCCGAGTTTACTCTTATGACTTGCACTGAATTGAATCGGCCAGGGATGCATAGTCCGGAAAATTGGTGGTAACTCGCTGACAAGTTTGTCGTGGTTTAGCTTTCCTGCACTGAGCGCGGTTGTTTGCGCATGTGCAGTCACCTAAGTGTCAGTAAAACATTACTGAGTAAAACACAGATGTCATTTGACTGTGGTGCCATGTCCATGTGCCATGCCTGTTTTTTTTAAATCCAAATATTTCCCCTCCTCCGTTTATAAAATAATTTGCATCCACACATCTACGTTATCAATCACATTCGTAACATTCCAAACATGTGCGTCTCTTACGTCCTGTCCTGCGTTGGGGAAAAACACAGAAGTGGGCGGAGTTCTGATGCAGACACCGGTAACGGCACTTTTACAGTCATAGAAGACACTCAGAGTAAAGAGTAAGACGTATGTTTACAAGCACTGACCCCGTCCTCAGCCCTGGTTTAGTCCTGGTTTAGTCCTGGTTTAGTCCTGGTTTGGTTGTTTTCGAGCGTGAGTCCCCGCGATCACTTTGCTGCTCTCTGATGTGGAGCGAGGATGTTCGCTGCTGCGAGCATCTCACAGCGAACAGTTTTTAAGGTAGTATGATCCATGCTTCAGTGATCAGAGGAATTTAGGGGGGTACTGTGGCGTGCGAGAACGCAAAACTCTGGTTATCTCTGTCTACACACAAATGCATTAACGGAGTTTTCAAAAATATCCACTTTGCCCGGAGTTTTTTGTATATATTTGTTTAGAATGTGTAATTTTTTATTTATTTAATGCGATCTACCAATACTACCTTTGCGATCGACTGGTAGATCGCGATCGACGTATTGAGCACCCCTGCTGTAGATGAATCATAAGTCCTTTGTGAATAACAATGGATTTGTTTTTAGTTCTTTCAAATTTTCATTCAAATTTACAGAAACTTCACGTCATCTCAAAGCACAAGGCCCCTGGCCAAGTCAAGTCCTGAGGTAATGCCTTCAAACCCAAGTTGAGACTCAACTTGAGGTCTCACCTATTCAAAATAGTGACTCAAGTCTAATTCAACTTGCAAAGTCTAAGTCACAACTTGCAAGCGAAAGTGTGTTAAATGGTTTGTATTCATTCTGTGCACAGCGTCCGGAAAAAGTTAGTGGTCGCGCTGCCTCCCGGCGAAGTCCTTTCCAGTCCAGGCTTCCAGCTGTTTGGAAAAGTCCACTAAACGCACTTGTTCTCGCCAAATACTTTTCTCAAACATCTATTTAATCCAGTTTAAAAAGTCAATTTAAAAGTAAAAGTGACAAAAGAAATACACAGTTTCCAAAACCATATCTGAGACTATTCACAAATCCACCAGTGACACATTTAGATGATTATCTTATCGTTTAAAACACGTTTTCTGTCTCAAAGTGTGAGTCGCTTTTACTTTCTGTGGAGTGAGGAGAACAGAAGGTACAGTATGTTGACTGTGTTTTATGAGTGGAGGTGATGGGGGAGTGCAGCTGTGAAGCCATTGCATAATGATGCAGCTCAAGAGGAAATTCAGACTGGAAGACTATCTGCCTGCACCCATCACATCCAGGACCAGCCCCTCTATAATATTCATGTATAGTGATATCTGTGATGTTGGTCTGCAGAAAGAGTTTGTGAATATGACTACTATTAACACTAGAACTCCCCGAGCATTCAATTTGACAGCTTTAAGTTTTGAAAGCGTTATTATTATGAAATTTCCTTTTAATGTTGAAATGTGAGTAGTTTCTTCAAGGTGAAATGTTGGCTTGATTTTCCACCAGAACAGAGCACGTCTTAGTTACCATAGCAACACACTGTTTACTGTCAGCAGGTAGAATTTGGTCACTTTTTAATCAAATTGTTTTTTTCTGTATTTCAGTTATATTCACCAGTTTGTTGCACTTATTAAAAGTAAGTGAAGGTAAAACTCTTACCTGAAATCCCAGAGTCAAATTGTTTACTTCTGAAACTGAAAATTACCCTCATAATGAACAAGAATTATTGAACATGATCGTAGTCTTGGGCAAATTCTAAGTGAGTAATATATTTATTTAGCGCATTTTACAGACCCAGGTCACCCAAAGCGCTTTACAATGTTCAGAGTTAAGATTTTTTCCCATTCTCTCCACACACGGTGATGACGGAAGTGAGATGCCGAACACACAGGCGCCTTCAAAGCCCCCGACCAACACCATCCGTTCACTCACTCATTACATTCATAATTATTGTGCATGTTTTCAGCGGTAGGCATAAACAGTAGCCTGGCTCTGCCAGACCCTTGTAGTTCCGCCATGCTCCACCAGAGGCGTTTGGCTGAACCACATGGGTCTGGTATCGAGCGCATAGCGAACGCCTTCCCCAGATTATTTTTTAATCGACCAATCAGGATTGCCGGTGTTACGTGGGTTCTGCACATAGACTGTATATATTAACGGCCAGAGTCACGCCTATCTCCGCCGTTCATAGGAGATACGTTGTGAAAAAACGTATCTGCGCATGCGTCAGCCGGCGCAACTCCATTCATTTAAACAAGAGACTTCAATAATTCACCGCGAGTAAACTAGAGTGGACCAAAAAAATTCACCCCCCTCAGCATTGACACACATGTGGAACGGAGCTTTGGGCCAAGAGCCAACTTTTGGTCCATCCTGTAAAGACGTTTTTGAGAGGTCTGTTAGCATTGGCTAATTCTACTTCTGGGTCCACCCCCATCGGCCCGGGGTGGTATTGCAGCATGTCAGCGCACGTCATTTTGGCCACTTTTGAGCTGGGACCAAGCCCCGGCGATCCAAGATGGCGCCCTATTCAAATGAATGGTTGTGCTCAGTGGCGCTTTGTGACGGCATGGGGGCTGAAAGATTAGCGGAAGTTGCCTGAAACTCGCAAAGATCTATGGGAAACTCGCCTGTATTTGGGCATCGTCTGGTCCTCCCGGTTCTGTGCAGTGGATGATCTCCCATAATGCGTTGCGCCAAACACGCGTGTGTGGGTCTCACACCGGGTCTCACGCACGTGCACAGAGGGGCTCGGCCGCAGTGTTGCCAACTTAGTGACTTTGTCGCTAGATTTAGCGACTTTTCAGACCCCTATAGCGACTTTTTTTCAAAAAAGCGACTAGCGACAAATCTAGCGACTTTTTCTGGTGTTATTGGCGACTTATCTGGTGTTTTGGCGACTTATCTGGTGTTTTGGAGACTCGTGAAGCACGTATTGTTCTGCTGTCCTCAACGTGAGCCCCTCCCCCGTCCCAAAGCACTTAAGCCTAGAGGGCGCGGCGCAGCTTACGTTAGCGGTTGCGGCAACGTAAGTATACTTGCGCGGCGTGGCTTACGTTAGCGGTTGCGGTGGACCTACGTAAGCACAATTGATTACAGGCGGCCAGTCTCACAGTAGCCTTGCGCAGCAGTCCCAGCTACAGTCTATGGGCGGAGCAGAGAGAGAGAGAGGAGACTCAAAAGCACAGGAAGTTTTCAGGCTGCTGCAGACTGAACTTCAGCTCCACCACCACCACACATCCAAAGCTCCCCGGCCACTCCTACCACCGCCACCCCCCACTACCCCCCACTCCATCCGCGGCAGCTCTGTCCGTGACTCTGTTTTCTCTCAGTAGTGGGTCACATTAAATCATTTGTTATGCCAAACTATGAAAAAAAAAAAACTTACAAAAATAAACCTAAGTAACTCTGCCAGAGTGTGTCTTTTGGGTCACTTTGCCGGTCCCAAGCCCGGATAAAGGAGGAGGGTTGGTTGTAGAGCTAGCAATTTCACCCTACATAACAATCTTTTGATTACATTTGCTGTTATAACATTTAACAATACAGGACAAAACTGATGTGTGTAATGTGGATCTAGACAAAGCATTAAAATCATTAAATGTTGTTAATGTTGAAATTATTTTTGTACATTTGTAGTTCTAAACATATTTAGGGTGTTTTTACTCACTTTTGTCTCTCCCACGACCTTATTCCTCTCTCCTACAGCGTCCGTTACAGTTATTTGCAAATGGCAAATTATGCAAATTAGGCGATGACGTCATTTAGCGACTTCTAGCGACTTTTGGGACAGCCAATAGCTACTTTCCTTACTGAGGAGTTGGCAACACTGCTCGGCCGCGCTCTGACCAATCAGAGCAGTTCATCAGAGCGGGAGTTAGAGCGAGAGCCAGACGAGCAGAGTTTGTGGCACTAAAGTGTGGATTTAACCCGATATGCCCCGCGCACATGTTTTACAAATGATCAATTTACTCGCGAACGGTAAAACGTAGCAACTTACTTTTTTTTCCTCTGTGAAGTACGTATTCAGGGCTTTCCGAAACTTTTTGATTTGTCTGTGCGATGCACGGAGGATAAACTACGTTTGTCTGAAAGTCCGTGTGCAAAGCGTGACCCGTGAGGTACAAACAGCTGTGAGATACAAACACACGGGGACTGCCAAAGATCGTCAGAGAGTGCGATCTCTCACTCCTCTGTCTGTACTTGTTCTCCCACAGTTGAAACTACAGCTGCG